GCCCCAGCCCTGACTTGCCCGTGGCCCTGCCAAGCCGTGACCTTTCCTATGCCCCCCCCGGCGCCGTCTTGCCCCTGAGCCCCGGAGCCGCGGCCCGTTCCCTGGAGGTGTCTGAAACGCCGGTGGTGGCGAAGGTGGGGGACCAGGAAGATGTTCTCGGCCCTGAAGAAGCTCGTGGGCTCGGACCAGACTCCGGTCAGAGACAAGAATATCCCTGCAGGGCTGCAGTCCATGAACCAGGCTCTGCAGAGGAGGTTTGCCAAGGGAGTCCAGTATAACAGTGAGTCGGAGCCCAGCTCCTGGGGAGTCACTGGCGGGGGACAGAACAAGCCCCGGGTGGGAAGCAAACCTCAGCGGTGGGTCCCAGCCGGTGCCCGGGGGGGCCTGTTTCCGGGGGCCCCTGTGGAATTGTAAAATGCATATGCTGTTTGTCTTGCGGGGTGGTGCTTTTGCCAGTAGTTGAAAGCCAAGTATGCAATTAAGTGTTAGAGCATGCAGAAACGTGGGCAGAGTAAGGGATGGTGAACTTTAAGTTTTTGTGCCAGACTTAGGAACCTGTGGTGCAGCAGTGTCCCCAGTCAGCAGGAGATGTCCTGAATGCCTGCATGCCTTCCGCTGACTGTGATACAAGAGAGAATTTCTTGTAAATCAGTTTTAGCCAGTTGAAGCATCAGGAGCATTATTCCCCCAAGTGTGTGGGTGACCTTCTCTACAGCTCTGGATAAGGCTATTTACAATTAAGCTCTAATGGTTATATGCTCAGGGACTTTTGAAAAACTCTGCCTTGTTAGGCTTTAATAAAAGGTGAGTGATGGGCCCCTTTAACTACCTTGATACATAATTTCATTATGATTATCTCTTTCTGTAACTTATACATTTGCTCTTTTTTCATAGAACACTTTCAGAATTATTTTCCTTTCAGTATTGAGGTGCAAGGTTGCCTTTTTCCCTTGAAGCTCAGTAAAGGTTATTTCTAATATGTTTCAGGAAGGCACTGCAAGTATGTGAAATACATCCCAAAGTAACAATTGTGATAAGGAGGAGGATATATATGTAATCCTTGCTGAAAATAGACATGCTGCTTGCAGTGCTCTTGTGTTATTAGCTTGTCTGTATGGGTCTGTGCAGGCAGTGAAGTCGAATTGCAGAAGACTGAGAAATGAGCAGTTTGGATTAAGACTGATTTGTAAACATGCTACAGAATAGTTTCTCTAAACACACACATGTTGGGGGAATAGAGATTATGCTATATCGTAATCTGAAACTGTACAGGAAGGGAGAACTTAGCCCTTCAGAGTTTGGGGAGGGTTTTTTAGTGTTATCATGATAGACTGCTTTTGAATTGATGTGTTTTTGAAGCTCTCTACTCTAGTAGGGAGAACATTTGGTGCATTTATCCAGATCACATCTGTGGAATATGCTAAGAATAGTACTTAATTTAGAAAGTAGAGTCTTAGCAAGCAGTCGTGAATATGAACAGAAACACACCGTTTCTGTTAAGAGACTTGATCCCTAATGAAAGATTAGGTATGAGGATGAAGCTATTATACCTTGGCATATAGTGCTGCATTGTCAACCGTATACCTGGAAAATCGCTAGTTAAAGACTGTTGATCTCTGCAGAGGCTTTGTGGAGCCTACAGACCAGAGTGCATTCATGTGCTTACTGTTAAGTGTTTAAGATCAGGTAGCTAATGTCAACTCCTTTTTCTTACATAATTTGAAAGTTGATTTTTGTGGAGGTGAATGTTTGTGCTACGTACAATAAAGATCAACTGCATCTTGCTGGCGCAAAAATAGAAGGGGATAAATCTTTGTGTGTTGACTAACTGCATGGTTGAGTGACCTGTGTGTATGTATACCTTCTTATTAGTAATACAGCAGGGCCAAAAATGCAAACAGCTAAGCTACAAACGGTAGCTTGGGTTGCTTTTTGTCTCGTTACAGAAAGCCTCTGGAAAGCTTTTTGTTTTGTGCCCTGTCTTGACAGAATTTGTGTTCTAATTACTGCTTTTATATCTATAATAAAACTACAGCTTTCTGTCACTGCCCTAAGGGAAGCTTTCCAATCTCCATAGTAACTCTTCCCAGTGATGCTATTATATAATATTTATAGGAGATACAGGCAGTCTGCTGAAGAGTTTTGAAGTACCCTACATAGCCATGGCAGTTGATAAATAGGATGGGTTCCAGCATTTTGAAGGAATGTCATATACAAGTGCCATTGCTAAGGGAAGGGCAGAGCTGCAAATCCTGTGTTATCGTCAATGCACCTTTTTTTAGCAAATACATGAAATTCAGTGTGACATTCAACAGGGGAGTGCAAAATGTTTTTTGTAGTCATCTTTAATACACACAGATCTTTAGAACTCTTTCTTTTTCCTGCAACTGCATAGATCTAAATTAAAGGGTGCCGCAATGACTGGTTTTACAGAAATGTTTCCTTTACTGTCATGAACCGAAGCGTGTTTCCTTACCAGAAGTATTTGTAGTATGCCGAGATTGCCTCGGATTTCTTACCGATAAAGCGGGCAGCAAATGGACAGGATGTGGGCCTTATCGCCTGGCTCGTGATGCCGGCTTGCTGTGCAGTTCAGAACAGGCAATGCTGTGCCAGCCTTCACGGCTATCAAGTATATTTCATAACCAAACAAATGCCTATTTGAGGTGAAAATGAAGACCGTGTGGTGTCTTAATAGCACTGAGGATTATAAGTGATGGGTAGTTTGCTCCTCTAAGTTGAACTGAATTGATTTGGGTTGATGGCCTCCCTTCTGCTCAGCCAAGTTTTCAAAAGGAAAACTTTTGCAGGGTGGGTAGGTTTAGATCTCTGACAAGAGCAAAGGCCAGTAATAGCCCATCATTTCCTTTGCATGGGACATCATATTTCGTAACAAAAGCATTTTTATATTGCATTCCCAACACACAGAAGCCTTATTTGCTCTCTCTGTCATCTGCATGCAACTCTTCTGATTTATGTGCCATGCCCCAAGTAATACTGTAGTTGTCTGAGTACTGTAGCAAGTACAGGGATTAAAAATGGTCTGTACAACGTTTGTGATGGCTGAGATGTTTATGTGAGATCATAGTTCCTAGTATAGGGAACAAATCTGTTAAAAGTCACTTCTTTTCTCCTGATTGGGATAGCTTGAACTCCCAAAAGAAAGATTTTCTTTTTCCTGCTGCTTTCCATCTCCTCCTGTCTTCTCCTTTGTGCTGACCTGGGTGTTTGTGCAACACGTGGCAAACTTGGAGGCCTGCTTTGACTGCTGTCTAGCCTGTTCCCCTGAAGAAGTGTGCTTGAGGATGTCTGCAGAGCACATCTGCTTCTTTTAGCAGCAGCAGCAGCTTAGTGTTTGAATTACAGCCTTATAGTCACGATCCCTAAAGACCTTACAGAGAATAAGGTTATGACCCTTGGAATGGGGGATGTTGTCCTAGAAGTTTGGGGATCTTTGGTATGGGATCTGAGATCCCTAGTCGTTGCAGTGCCCTCGAGGAATATGAGCAGAGTTGGGAGTTCCTGATTTCCAGTTCTCAGTCTGAGACTTGCTCTCTGATTCTGCGTCTTTACTGCTCTGCTTCCGTTCCCCTGTCGGCAAAGTTCCTCTGTTTTTCCTGACACTTTACGGTATGAATGAGAAATGATTTGTCTAGCTTTTTCCTCAGATTTTTACCTATTCCCCATACCTGCCCCTCTTTCCACAGATAATTCTGCTATCTTTGCCACAAATCTGTGGCTGTTTGCAATAAGTAATAATTTAACTTAAAATAAGGCAGCAATTGTATACGTCTCATAGGTAACAGTACTCATGCGAGACCCATAGGATGAGGACCATAATGGCTGGTTCTCTTCTCACATTTAGGTACAGCCCAGGTGTGTGATTTAGCTGGTGCTTGTTGTGCTCTGAAGCTCACTCAGTTGTGTCTTGCAAATGCCTGTTCTTGGGTAGGCCTGTCCAAACCGAAGTCCCAAATACAGATTTTTTTTTATTTTGCTAAAAATTATTTACGTGACCTAACTTCTTCCTGTTTTGTTTTTAAAGGCTTTTTCTTTCTTCAGAAAAAAAACAGTGAAAATTAACGAACTGTGTAGAAGGAAAGAGATCCTAACATGGAAAATATGGAAGGTGAAAAGGATGGCTCGACATGTTCAAACTGAGCATGTGGTGCCACCAGCACACTAATTTAATCTAAGTGTGAGCTGCTCAAAGGGGTGGGTGATCCACCTGCTCCTGGCATGCCATGCTATGCTAATACCTTGCTGCTACCGCTCATGCAGCTGCGCGCTTGAGCTACAGTGGGAAATCAAGTGTTGTGGAGAAGTATTTTGGGGACTAGTTTTTAGCCAGTTCAGTTCCCTGATCCAACTCCACAGGTAACTGCACAAATAATAGTGTTGGCACAGGGAAAAAATGGGGTGTATAAGACTGCCTCTTCTGGAGATAGCTCACGCATAAGTCATCTGGAAGTGACCCTGAAACTGCACCTTGAGAAACAACAGACAGCATAAATGATGAAGAGTCCATTTGTCTCGTGGAACTCCCTGTTTCAGTAGCTAATGCTATACTTTATGGGGGAATGTGAATTTTAAAATGTCTCTCTGAGGTAAGCAGTGAGAACATTTCAAAAGGCTCAGGTTTTAAAGGCATCAAGTAGGTTCTTATTCTAACTGTACCATGGACTTGTTGCATGAATTAAGAAAAATCTAAGGAATTCTTTGAAATTCCACACAGTGCAATAGGAAATGCAGAGAATGCTTTGCTGTCTCTGCAGAGATGCTCTGGTACCTGTAAATGAAGTCAGCATATAAATATTTTGTTCATTTCTGCCTTGTTCATCCTTTTGCTATTTTAACAGGTAACTTTTTAAAGGAATAAACAGCCATACATCTTAGTGGATGAGAGCAGAACTGCAACACAAAATTGCACCAGGCAAAGCTCTTCCATATACCGTTATATGTTGTATCAGGCACTCTTACCAAACTTTTCCTGAAATGATGCGGTTCTTCTGCTTCTCTTGCTAGGTTTTGGAGATGCCTCTAATAATTCCTGAGTTCCAACAAAAGACAGCCCTCGGTCTTAGATTTCTTTGCCCGAGTGATGATGCACAACCTAGTGCTAATGACTTGAACCTGCTATTAGATGTCTGAGTGACCCATTTTCCAGGGGATAACGGCTCCCATGTATCAAACACAAGCGTAAAATTTCTGACTCTGTTCAAGTCAGCTGCACAACTCCCAATAGCCTTGTGCTTGCTACTTAAAACAAAGATGGGATGTGTGTATGGGTTTATATGCTTTATATATATTAGATAGATATCTAAAATATAACAGAAAACTTCAAAAAACGACACTCTTTTCAGAAAGAACAAGGTGACATTAGGTAGACTCTGGAAAGCCCACGCTACTAATTGCGGCAGAAATTGCTTTGCTGGGTTGAGAACACTTGATGGTGCTAGTACAAGTGATACGCTGTGGATTCATTGTTTTCTCCTCAACAAGTTATTTTGGACACTTCCTTTCCTTGGGGCGAGTTTGAATGTATTTCTCTATTGACTCACTTTTCTTGCTATGGCTATAGACACATGTGAACAAGCTCATGCACATCATCGTAGTTCAGCTAAGTGGCCCAAGCAGCTGGCCTGGAGGCAGGACAGGGGCAGTGCAGCCTTTCTGGCTTTACCTGAGAGTGCAGTTGTTGAGAATTCCTTTTGCTGAGCGCCACCAGTACGCTTCAACCTTAACAGCAGTAAGACCTGGTACATGCTGCAGAGACTTTCTCTCTAACTGAGGCATGGAGGACTCACAGAGATTCAGTTTCTCTTTGTTTTATTTCAGTGTTATTTAAGCCAGCTTGTGTCCCCCAAAAAGGCATGCCTGTTTTGGTTCAACTTAGCCTTTTTCTAGTGGATGTAAGATAGACTGATTTTGATTAAATTTGAGCTGGACTGTGGCTATCAACAGAGGTCGTTTGGTGAATTTATCAGTGGCGGTTTAAGATAGACCGCTGTGGATGTGAATTACCTTGTCCCTTTGACAGAGACTGTGTTCCTCGAGATTGCCTCCTTGTCTGAGCTAATCTGGGCTGTGATCTGGAGCAGCTGAAGAGCAATACACGGTCTTGTTCCGCTTCCCCGGAAAGCGGGCTGTTGCTCCAGCAAAGGAAAGCTGAGGGCAGCCGAGAATGGTAACAGCTTACCTCTGTGATGATGTTCACCAGAAGCTGCCTCTCAGCTCTCCAAGAGCATTCGCAGACCTTTTGCACCAGTGTCTTGGTTTAATGCCCACCCCTATGAAAGTGGAGCAGCACTTCTGAAGAGAATACCCTGTCTAATTCAGGTCAGTGAAGAACTGGTCCTTGAGCTTTTAATGACATTGTACAACAGGCTCTAGGAAAATATTATTTCCTCAAGGAATGAGCAGTGTTTAAGGAGAAATGTGAATGACAGAGGAGATAATTGAAGGAGAAGCCTAGCATTAAAGGCTTGCAAAGGAATAGGGTATGATGAAGTTGGAGTAAGGGCTAGATACAAGTGAGAGAAGGCAGGAGGATGAAAAGTGAGCAGAAATAAGAGCAGAAACTTAGCTGGCCAAAGCTGTGCAGGGTTCTGAGGACTCAGTCTTGTCATTGTTTTTTTTCTGCTGAGCGAGTTTGAGTAGCTGAATGAACAGTAATTTTAACGACTGAGGCACTTGTTTTTTAACAAGCCATCATGCCTAACGTGAGAGAATTAATTACATCTGAATAACGCGTGCAAATTTTAACATGCTTTTCCAAGCATTCTCAGGTTTATTTTAATCAACTTTATTTGTCTGTTTGCTCTTTTCTTCAGTGAAAATTGTTATCCGAGGGGACAGGAACACTGGGAAAACCACACTCTGGCACCGACTGCAGGGGAAGAAATTTATTGAGGAATATATTCCAACTCAGGAGATCCAAGTCACCAGCATCCACTGGAACTATAAAAGTAAGAAAGGAGAGGGGTGGAGGGAGTGACGGTCATGGAGCAGTGCATTGTCTGTGCCTGAGGGTAGAAGTTCTACTGCATCCTCCTTTGTTTCTTTCTTCTGTGTCTGTTTGGGGAAGAAAAGGGACTCTCAGCACTCAAGTTATTTAAATTTATTGTTCAGGGTTTCTCAGTTGTGTTTTTAATAACTTTACTTACAACTATATGTTGCAAGTACTAAAGGATATACCATTGGAAGCTGCAATCCTAGGAAGGTTTTCCATCAAAAAAAATTGGGAATATTTGTGATATACTTGACATGTGAAAACATTTTTATTGTGGAAATCTGCCTCTGAGGATAACTGTGCTTCTTGTTACTATGTTGTGAACAAGTGAACAACATGGTGCACTCTTGTCTTTCACTGTCTGATCAAAATATAAACAGCATCCAGTAAGTGATAAAAATTATGTTTTAAAAATGATTGTAGTAATAATAACTTTAGGTTGAGTTACTGAAGCACAGAGGATTCTCGTCAGTAGCTTTTTAAAGTGCTTGTTTCACTTTGAGAGATGAGATGTGATTTTCCCATCTGCTGTGGCAGTTTAAAGCGGCTGTGAAAGCCCTGGATCTAGCTCGGAGAAGACTCCGCAGGCATTGAAATTGCATAAGGCTGTGGTTCAACAGTGCAGTAAATCCAGCTTTCAGGTTCCTGATCAAAAATGCCACAGCCTTGTGGGATGAAGTACTGATTCAGCATGAACTTGCTCTGTAAGTCTGATTTTGCTTAAAATAATGTCAGCAGTTTAAGTTCGTCGTATCAAATACAGCCTCTCGACACCACTCTGACTTTATGCTGAATTATGTACCCTCTCTCTCCTCACAACTAGAATAAGAGCATAAAGTTGAGGTAAACGCCATATTGGGTGCTTTGACTAATTCAGCGATCAAATTTGTATTGCCTAGTCCTGTAATGCATAAGTCTCGTGTCAATGATCGTGGAGTCACAGGATGTGTCTGCAAGCAGGCTGCCTTGGGAGAGCGCTCTTGTAATATCTCTTGGCTTCCTAGGCTTCAGCACAAGGAGTGTGAGCACATACTGCTATGGTAGCTTCACAAGGTACTGGTAATCAAAGTTCAGGAGACTGTCTCGTTCCTTTTTGAAGACAGCCTTCTAAATTAGTCTCCCCTTTCTTGATAAAGGTTGAAAAGGTTCTGACATTCTGACGAAAAAGAGGTTCTGACATTGAGCTAAGCCTTGTGTCACAGGTGCTCGGATTTTTTGACAGGGACTCTCTGTATTGTGATGATGCAGAGGTCTGCTCGTTAACTTCTGCGTTTCTTCATAAAGCATCTTTATTTTGGAGAACCTTCTCCCTGCTGTTTTGCCTATCCACTGGCCCAAGACATTGACAGATCTGCATTATTCATGCAGTGTTCCCCATCTGCAGTGACAAGGCTGACATACTGCGCTGTAGCTCTGGCATCCTTTCCCGACACACTCATTCCTCTCTTGGAATATCAGCACATCCATTACTGATGTATGGAGGTAGAGCTTGAAAGTTGCTTGGATTATGGAAAGCATCTCCAAAAACAAACTTGAATGCTTCAGTCTTAAGTCAGAAGTATTCCCTACTTCTTTCTCAGATATCAAAGTGTGAAGAGCATTGTGAATGTTAAACGTGATTTTCTACAGTATCATAGGTAAAAACTTAGATGTTTAGTTTCCTCTCTAATCAGTGCTTGTAATATAAGGGTTGTTTTTAAATACAGCACTGGAATTTGGCATTTATTATTATTATTTTTTAAAGAGGCTAATTCATACCTAGTTGTTTTTGTGTACACAGATGGTTACAAGTAAAAAGTGTTTGAAGAGTCTATTCCATGTGTAGAAAGACGTAATCATCTCACATGTGTCTGCATATTTTAGGGACTGCATTTCCTTTTACTGAGCTGAGACTTAGGCACTGGCTTTTTCAACATGGACATGATCCCAAGGTAGAAAGCAGCTAGGTGTGAAGTTGGCTTCGCTGTAAGTCAGTAGTTGCAGGTGTGTTATTTCTAGTGCTGAGTTCTAATGTTTATGTGATACGTTTCTATAGGGCTTGCTGGTTAGAGTTGACAGCCATGTGTGCATATGGTGATGGATTTTTCTCAAAGGTAAAGTGTTGCCAGACTCGTTGGAACGTTTGGAAGACTGTACGTTAAATTGTGCCTTTCACTTCTGTTTTTTTCACTTTAGAAAACTGTGTTATTTTCTTACTAATAATTTCCAGTAGTACAGGAAATTGTTGGCTGATCTCCTTAAAACTTATAAAAATAACCCCCTTTTAAAAACATTGTAAGGTATGGTGCCTGCTGTGAAAACTTTCCATCCAAGATAGATGATATGGGCACTGCGAGAAGTTGACTCAGATCTAATTACCATCCTGTTGGCTGAGTTAATCTGTAGAGGAAAAAGAAAGTTTATTTTGCCTGTGACCATGCTCTCAATCTCCCTTGAATAAACATTATGAGGTAGTTGGCAGCAAATATTTACGGTTATTAATTAAATTGCTGTCAAATGTTCCAGAGTTCTCATATTGCCTGGTATTAGATGATTAATATTTTAAATATGGAATGTTCCCCTTGTCATGTCTTCAGAAGTTTCATATTGGAGGATTTAATAAAGATAAAGGAATCTGAGAGATATTTTGCTGCTGAGAATGAACAAAATTACTTTTCTGAGCCAACTGCCTTTGTTATGGAATTTTTTTTTAACTTTTATGTCTAGGTAAGGAGTTACCATTTCTGACTCTAATGTACAGTTCTTAGATGATGCTAGTCATCAGTTTTATTCTTCTATCAGTCTCAGAAAGGGAGTCTGAAGTAAAAATTAGCAAATACTTTTGTTCAGAATACTTTGAAAGCTTTATAGATGAGTGTGTGGAATGACGGAGCTGCTCTGCTCTGTAGGATTTGTGATCCAAAATACAAGGTGAATCATGTAACTATGAGAATGAATATGTCTGAGAATCTGAATTTTTTTTGACAAAGCCACCTATAAAGGCATGATTTCTTATTTTTTTAAAGGATCTTTCTTGCAAATGGAGCCTTGTCATTTCTCCGCTATTTTCCTGGAAAACAAGGTCTTACGTGCAACTGGCTACAGACTACTTAGCTAAATAGCAACTGAGTAGAGTTTTCTCGGTGGTTTTATCCATGCAATGGGTTTAGGGTAATCCACGTTATAGAATTAAAATGATGAATTAGCGCTCCTTTTTTGCAACGTGCCTTCAGATGCCGTTAAGGTGAAAAGCTGCTCGTACACCTGTGTGTGAGTCATAAGAAAGCTAATACAGCTGCATTAAAGTAATTATCCTCTTGTGCGTTCAAGATAGCCAGGAGCGAAGCTGGTGATGAAAAGGAAGAATTTGTTGTCTGGTAGCTAGCAGGAACACTGTTCCTAACACAGAGGGGAAAAAAATAAAACATGGGAAAATGGTTTTCTTGGATCTCGTGTAGTCAAGTTCTTTAAGTTCTGTGTTTCCCCTTAGCAAAAAGGATATAGAGACCCTTAGCAGGTCTCTTCTTTCTGCATCGAACTGTTCCACTCCCTGACTATCTGGAAGGCATACTGCCCAGCAGGACTTTAGTGCTGTGTAAATTACTCACTAGGAGAACAAACTGTAACTGAGGGTGCACTTGCACTTGGTATTAGGATAGGAAGGTGAAGACCACTGGTGGAGATCACTGGAGCTTGGCAGCAAAGTTCCAGTGTCAGGTACTCAGCCGTCTCCCAGGAGGGCGCTGCAAGTCACCCAAGGGATTTCGTTTTCCAGAAAGGGGTTCCAACTTCTCCATAGAAACTGCTTCCTAGAAGTTATCTGCTTCTTCACATGAAGCTACTAGAAGGAACAAACTGTTTTCTAGTCTCCTCCCGTGGTGTTGCAAAGTTTGCCGTCTAAAAGATGAAAACGTCTCCTGTCATCTTGCAGAATGTCTTGACTGTTGAGAGGAACAAAGATTGCCTTTGCTTTGCTCTTCTGGGACAGCCACAGCACTGCTGGTTCCAGTTGCAGGGTCTGAATTTGGGAACAGAACTCAAATAGGTTATCTGTGTCAGAGCACTTGCTGGGTCACGGTGCACCCTGAACACACTGTGGGCTTGAGCATCCCAGGTCACACTCTGAGAGCTGATATGTATGGATATCTGTTCATACAGCTTGATGCCAATCATGTGAGTAATGGGGAGTGGTTGCACTATGCCCTGTTGATGACTTGTAGAAATATTCAGGAACAGAAGGAATTTGAGGAGCGTAATGGTTAAAGCAGAAGACTACGAGCCTCTGTATGCCTGTTGTGTTTTCAGTACCATCTGGGCCTGTTGATGCAGTGGCTGATCCTGGGCAAGTCTCTTGTTCGTCTTCTGCCTTACTAGCAAATTGGAGGATTAAGTGGGAGTTGCTGTGAGAAAAACAGCCTCTGATTTGGTTTTATACATGACTGTAAAAATATCTTTCTCAGGAAGTGGATGATCAAACTTTTTCTTTATTCATCTGTCTTTACAGAATTTGGAAATATTTTAAGCTAACAAAGGATTCCATTGAAGAAATGTTTCCTGGCTTGACAATGACACTTAGTTATATTCAGTCATGCCATGATGGGAGATTATTTTCTACTTTAAGCCATTGTCTTCCTACTCTATAGCTGCTTTTGCTTAGTACCTTGTATCATGTCCCAAAAGCAGCTGTTTCTTGGAACACCGTGTGAAGATGAGAGTGCTTGTTCAGATTCAGTGAGCAGCTTCCGTTAATTTATTCTGCATGCAGCCTGAAAGTTAAACCGCTAGCTGTCATTATCAGCAGGAGCTTTTTCTAGTTAGAATTTTGCTTGTCTTGCTTTAGATTTTAGCAACTCACATCTCAAATTCCTGCCTTGCTGTCCTTTATTTATGGACTCTGCAGCTCTTTAAGAGGCATAATTGCTAGTAATATCTTATTTTTGTCAGAAGAATAAGCCAACGTAGCTTGAAACTTGCAGAGAGAATAGATTTCTGTGACCACAGGAGTATCTGTCCCGTTTGCCACATTTACATAAAAATATTATTAATACAGTTGATCGTCTTTAAATATAAACACAGAGATAGTTGATCATCTTTAAATAGATGTATTCCCATTTTTTTCCATTGCACACATTGCTTTTAGACTAGCCTTTATTCTCTACATTTAATTTACATCTATTCTGAAAGAAGAACATGGAAACCTCTGCATGTTATGAAAAGAATCTAGGTGTGATTTTTATAATGCGGTCCAAATCTGACACACAATTTTAAGGAGATCTAACAATATCACTTATGTGACTAATAATTTTTAAGAAGCTCTTTAGAGAGCCTAGTTTTGGTGTACATCTTGGTTCTTCAATGGCAGGCCTTCTTTAAACTGTGCTTTGGGTTTTTTTTCTAACTTGCTGGGGAGTTACTTAGCTTTTCTTTTGACATGAATTTCTTACTTTGACACTGTTTGCTTTGGGTTAGGCTTTGCGTGGTGGGGGACAGCTCTTCTCCAACTTGCTGAAACCCTTTTTCTAACATTTTGTGTTCTTATTGTGCTTTTAGCCACTGATGATATCGTTAAGGTTGAAGTCTGGGATGTAGTAGACAAAGGTAAGATTTATAACTTCCTTTTTAATGCAGATTGATTGGTCGTTCTCAGTCTTAATTAAGAACTTATGTGGAATTCAGAAACACCCATTTATTTCCACTTTCTTCAGGAAAAAGTGTGTATTTATTTTTTGGAGTACACAGATGTAAGTTCCTGAAATAATAATATAGGCGGAAGAAGTCTCCTATACTGGAGTCCATTTTTTGCAATTTGAACTTCAGATCAAAACCAGAATTCAGAAAATTCAGAAGCTTTTATTTTACATGCTCTGTGATGAATGCAGTAGCCTGCTGCTTTGCATATTTAAATTATCTGAACTGTATAATAAACTTCTCCTTTATTTTTTGTATATATTTAGACAGCTACTGAGTTTTGTTCTGTGTATAGAAGTTCTTGCTGAGCTGTTTTTGAAAACAATAATATTGTTAAATTCATAAAATGTTATCTGCAGTGATTGATGTACGCAGGAGGGAAGGATAAAAGAGAAGCTAATTACTTAAATGCACTTAGAAATATGTTATAAATAATAAATAATATAAATAATATAAATAATAATATAAATAATAAGTATTTTAAATGCAATATATTTAATACAAAATCTTTTCTAAATGCTTAGCTGAGGAACGCATTAAGATGGGTTGATACATTTTTCCTTATTTTTCAATTTTTGTCAGGGTGTAAAGTTTTATTTCCTTAAAAAATGAAAAACAGACGTTTCTGAAGGCAAAATCTGAACACAGTAGAAAGGTGGAATCTGTTGCTGAAAGAGGTTGGGGTTCAGATGTAAATGTTAGCAGCACATTCTTATAGCCCCAAGTGCGCATTTTGTCTGTCTTCTTTTAAGAGGTGTTTTCTGCTAGGCAGGCTCCTGGTTTAAAGTGTGATTATGATCAGGAAAGCAACTTTACAAATGAGCCCTTCTTGCTCTGCAGGTGTGCTCCCTGTTTGTGAGTTTCTCTTGGTCAAATCTCATGACTATACTACTGGAAACTTGATTTTTTTTTTTTTTTTTAATGACTTCACTGTTGTTATCCTTTCTGCAGCCTTGGCTAGAACCTGTTCTGGCACACATATCCCCAGCAGAACTATATCTGAAATGTGCTATCTTTAAGTGCACCACTTGTGCAACTTATACATGCATTAGCACAAAAAAAAAAAGCTACAATAGGGAGTGGGAAAGGGAGAAAGTAATTTCTTTTTTTGGGGGCTAAATCATATTAAAAATAGTAACAAAGGAAAGATGGTTAAAGATACCAGCTCTAGTTCAAGTTCATAATGAATATTTTAGGTTAGACCTGAGTTAGTAATTTTAATATAAAATCCTGGATGATTTATCTCTTTTTTTTTTTTTTTTTTTTAATACCAGTGTTCTGCAGTACATATAAAAGCTTTCTTAGATCAGGATTACTGCTGAAGCCAGCTTGATTCTGGTTTGTCTTTCATATCCTAGGATAACGTGCGCAGGGCTGAAGAAAACCATCCGTTTTCTCACTGCCTTGCAACTTGGATATGAACTAATAGTTAATTTGGGAATCACGTGGTTCCAACCTTTATTTCTGTGAAGAGCTTCTCTGAGCAGAATCATGTTCTAAACTACAGAGACTTGTTTTATTATTTTGTTTTTTTGACAATGGATCAGATTTGGTATGTGCAAATGCTGATAACAGCTCTTCTGATACTGCTTTCATTTCTGACAGTGGGACATGTATCTGAAATCCGAAGGGACTGCTTTCTCTCCACTTCGTATCCATTTGAGATAAACCTTATTCTGTTAAGATCCCTAGTTAAGGACCACAGACGTTTCCATCTTTATATAATGTGTATATGCAATCAGTGCAATGTAAAAATTCAGATCATGATGTAACAAAATCAAATCTTTTCCCGCTGACATAGCATTGCAGATCCTTGATAAATACTGCTCGCAAAAATGTGCGAATTAACCATTATGAACTTGTTCATATCTAAGTTTCATCTTAACTTTATCTCTTGACAGTTTTGTTCTTCTTTCTGTATGCTTAGGACAAAAAATCCTCCTGCGTGATGCTTTCGGTGAGAGTGACGCTAACCTAGACTATAGACTTTTAGTAGTGAAGCATCCAGTACTGCTGCCGCATAGTGCTGATAAGATCTGATCCTCCCTTTTTGTCCTTTCGTACAAGATCCTGCCTAATATGCATATTTAGAGTTGTGTGGCATGCTGCTTTTATTAGGCTGAATTTGAAACTGCCCAGAATGCATGTTCCGAACATTGCATTTCAAGTCGCATTGTTTTCCAGGCAAATTTTTTTTTTTTTTTTTTTTTTTTTACCGATTTCTCCCATTTGAATTATTCCTTGTCAGAGAAAATTGAGAACTGTATTTAAATTAAGGTATTTGAAAGTGTATATTGAAAGCCTGATATTATTTTGCAATAACCTGGTGGGAATGTAGCCAAACTGTCTGAAAAACATATCCATAAACTGTGGTTTTCAACTTCAGCCTTGTAAAGCAGCTTCCACCTCACTCTGCTGTGCAGTGGTGCCATTCTTTATGTATCTCTGTGAATGTGCACAGGAGAATTTGGGAGAATTTTGTAAGCTGCGCCCTGAAAAACCTCGCTTTGATTTTTGCACTGAAGTCGAATGTGGTTTCACTAAGTAATGTTTTGCCTAGCACTTAGCAGCGGTTGTGCCTCCCTGTCCCTGTTAGTTCTGCAGTGTGCTTTGATTCCTCCCCCAACTGACTTAGGAATGCTGGAAGGAGCTTTGTTGGCCCTGCCTGACTGATGACCCGCTGTCATTTGTTTAGGATATAGATGCTAATTTGGAAGCAAGGGGAAATGCTTTCTAGTGAAAGCATAGAAGCTGTTAGGGCAGTAAATGCAGTGAAGGAAGAGGGCATGCTAACTGGTACGTTCTACCCCTCCTCTTAACTTGTTCTTGACTCTTCATGACCTTTTTTAAATGTGCGGACTTACTGGAGTACAGACTTATCTGCAGCTTTGCCTGGTTCTCTTTGGGCACGCTCAGAGAGCATGGCTCATTTCTGTAATGATGCCATTTATTAAATCCTTAACAAGAAGGGCTTGCTCCCAGCTATAGATTGTATTGAATTTTGTCCAATACATGTGATCCTTTGCTGCCCTTGGAACTAACAGTGCATAGAAAAGATACCTATCAGCAAGTCGCAGTCCTGAGTCATCGTTCTGCTTTGCAGTGAGTTGTATAACTGATGCAGGTCATAAAGCCATAACAGATTCTGAATGAAAGGAAGTGAAATGAAATGAAATGCTTGAAATGCAGGTAATTCAAGAGTTCCAATCTCCCATCTTGTAACTTCTGCTGTTTGAGCTCCTGCATCTTTCCCCAGACACGAGCTGAAGGGATCAAGTCACGTTTTTTTCTCTGGCCCCCAAAATAACCTAAACCCTTTCCCTCGAGTGCTGACCAGTCTTCTGGCATCCAGTAAGAAGAATTGTTCTGTAGACTCTGGGGCACTGCTAGAAGATTGTTTGGTGTTGGTTGCTACTGCCCCTGTAAATAAGGAGCTATCAGCATTCTAGTTAGAGAAGCTGGGCAAACACCACATGAAGACCCTTGTTTTCTAGTTGAGGCTCCCAGACCACACATCATGTAATCTTAAAAAACAGAGAACCTAGATCATGTCGTCACTCCATCTTCATTGCTCACTGGCCTTTAGAGCCTGAACGGCATCTCTTCACTACATGTATCACATCTTTATCTGGCCCATCTTGCAGCTCTGATTCCAGAAATAGACACTGTGCATGAATACGTACACACATGCACTTTTCAGCTCTGTTAGTGCTTTACAGATGACCTCCTTTACAGCAACGATGAACATCACTTAAGAATACCACTCAGTCCTCTTGATACATACTTAAAACCGTAAACAGGGAAAGGTACATGAATTGTGCATTCTGTCTCAAAGCGTGAGCAGTAATAGTCTAGGTTAGAAGGACACCTTGATTGCTCAGGGCGAGAGAAATCTGCAGACTATGAAGAGTTTTGGCTAGGTGTTATGCGGTTGCTTGGGCTTCTGTTTTAATACCAGAAATTCAGGTCAAGTCCAGCATAATTTATCAGCAACTGGAGAAACAGTGACATCTTGACATTCACGGAAGCCACACAAGTTCCACTGGCTTGAAATGATTTTAAGCAAAGGGGGAAAAGGCATGCATCTCCTAGACATCCCACGGCTTCATTTGGTCTGGGAAAAATCAGAGCCCACGCTTGAACCCTCAGGAGGGATATACTGCAAGAATGGGGAAAAAATGAGGATTAGTATTTCTGCTATTTTCAGCTGTCAAAAGTAAGATGACAGTAGGGCTGCAAATGTTTTAGAAATGTGTGTTTTTTACAATGACATTCAGAAGCATCTACCGGTAAGGGTTTCAAGGCTGAAATCTGCTGCTGTATTCTGCAACCCTTGCATAGCTGCTGTGCTAGGACTGCTCGGGCATGAACACTGTGTCACAGCTTTTTTCCATTCGGAAAATGCCCTAAACTCTCTTGGGTTTTTTAGGTGACACTAATAGCTTGACAGCTAACAGATGATCTAGTTGACCATCATTTGCTGAATATGGGTGCAAAGTACAGCAAGAGAAGTGGAACCAACCTCCTAATTATTGCTAACAGCAACAATACTTTCAGTAGGCTAATCCTGAATTCATTAGGGACACTCGTCAAGCGATATTGATGTCCGTATGAGCATTTCTATAACAATACTTGGTAAGAGTATTTCAGGGGGTCATTTCTCTGGTGCAAATTTCCTTTAAACAGGAAAGCACTACAGCATTTAAACTTTCCTGAATAACTTTTTATTTTGTAACCATTTATCCTTGACCTGCATACAAAAAGAAGCAAATGGTTTTTTTCTTCTTTGTTTCATATTTGCCAGAACCATGAATTTTGCAAGTGGTCACTCCATCTTCTTCAGTTGAGTTGAATAGTTCCAGAAGCTATATTTGTCCCCAGATTTGCAAATAGTCTGTTAAAGAGTCAGTGGAAGTTTGTTGTGGGAGTATCCAAGCTGTCAAACGCATTATGTCAATGATAGGCTGAGTTTCTAGAAATTACGAGAAGGAATTTCAAATCTCTGCCGTCCCAGAGTTAGGTGACAGAAGATGTGCCTCTTCTCACTTACTGAGACTCCTGGCGATCCTTGGTCCACACCAGAAAATCACATTAGCCAAGTGCCGCCCTGCTAGTCCTAGATACAAGTGCATTGTGTGGTGTTCTCTGCCTGCTGTGGCTGCAGGCTTTAAGATTTGGAAACATGACTAGAGTGTAACTGATATAATGCAGCGCTTTCAGAGAGCCTGAAACATTGGTTCTGAGTTTTAAAATGTTGCCTGCCCCCTTTTTCACGGGTGCTGAGTCAAATGCCAGGGGTACTTTAAAATGTCAGTCCCTGTACTTCTCCGGTGCTTCCTGAAGCTATAAGAAAAAGGAGAAATCTTAGCATGCAGCTATTTACAGCCTGTTTTGAGGGACTGTCTATTTCAGTGGTACAGATTTGTAAATGTTTAGCTGCCCTCTTTTATTATTCTCCTCTCCTGTTGAGAAGCCACTGAGGCTGGCAGAGTATGCTTGTAGCTGAAGAGTAATGTGCTGGGAGGGGATTTCTTGACATTGTTCACTGCGTTCCAGAGACACATCCACCTTCCTTCAACTGTCTAGCAGTGTGCTGGCAAACCAGGCTGTCAGATTAAAAGAAGGAGAAATAGAGCCTTATTTGGATTTGTGCTTGCAATTTAAGTGTCTGTGGTGCTGTCATGCCTCTTGGGCACGCATGGCAACTTTATTTTAATAGCCACTTCAAAACAAGAGGAATTTCTATAAGGTCACTTTATACAGGTCCAAAAAGGGGTCAGACCTTTAAATGTAAGGGCTATGTTTTAGTGCATGCCTCAGAGGAGGCAGATGAGTTGCAGAGAAACCTGTGGGTCCCTGCAGATGGGATTGTGGCCACTGGACTGCAAGGCAGTTCTCTAGTACTTTTCTAGTGTCTTCTCCAGGTGTTTAGCATGATGCCTCTTGCACTTTGTTAAGAGCTTACTCCGAGTTTTACGTGTCCTCTAGCTGGTTCTTAAATGCATGTCTCTAGAGCGTGTGGTGTGTGCTCAGAGGGTTGGTTTGGGTTGGTGCCTGTTGAGGATTTCCTGTCTTCGCTTTTGCTGGTGATGACCAGACCAGTCCTTCCACCGCTGGCCTTTCATGCACTCATAGGTTGTTTCTCTTCTGCTCCACAGCCCCTTTGCTACAGTTTTTTGGATTTTGCTCAGATTTTCCCCCCTTTGTAAGCTCTGTCTGCATTTTGATGGATCTGTCTGCATCAGATTCCACCCTGCCACCTTTTTCTTTTGTCACAAGTCAGCCAAAGCACCTAATGGACTCTGAGACCACGTTTACTTACAAGACTGCCTGCTTCAGGTCAGCGCAATAGCTCAGCAGTGTCATAGCTTCTCTCAAGAACAGCGTATACATAGTGGGGCTGTTATGACTGAACTGCCCAAATATCTTTTGCTTCTTCAACACTAATGCAACAACAAGCAGAACAGAGCAGCTCCCTTTGTGGTCAGGGAGCAAACCCAAACCCATATTCTTCAGTCATTGTGACTGTATGCTGTGAAGAGCACTGTTTAAGCTGCTGCAGACTTTCTGTTCACCTTTACATTAAACAGACGAGCTGATTTTCCTCAGCAAGGCATGCCTGTGCCACCTCTCCTTGTATTCCCCATGCTTATAGTAGAAGTTGGATCTGCTTTAAGGTCATGTACAAAATGCCGCGGCGCTGCTCAGGGAGACAGAGCCATGCTGGAATTCTGTGCCCAGTGTAATGCATTTGTCTTTTACATCTCTTCTTTTTAAGGAAAATGCAAAAAACGAGGAGATGGTTTGAAACTGGAGAATGATCCTCAGGAGGTGAGTCACCTTGAATGCAGATGTCATCCTTTTAGGGGGAGGTCTCTTGTCCTTCTTTGTTCTCTGTATTCTGCATTTGTTCTGCATTTGTATCTGCTCTGAGGCTGGCCGGGCAACTGGGTGAGGGGCAACGTGACCCCAGATGCTCTTCACTCCTTTGCCTACCTGTTTTATCGCTCTGCTCGTGCCCTCACTGCAACTCTCGTGCTGTTTTCCATTCAGTCTTTTGGGAATGAGGCACTCCAGATATTTACACTGTGGTTTTTTTGTACCTGTTTCGACGCGGCCAGTGTCAGGAACCCCTTTTGTAAAGGACTTGCCAGGAGACTTGAAGAAATCTCTTAAAGCCATGCTGTCTGGCTGCTCCTTGAAACTAGGCTAACAATTACCTTTTAACACCCTTTGAAAGGTAGAAGAGGAAGGAGCAATAGAGGTGCTAGGTGCTGCATAGTATGTGAAAGTAAACAGAGTGGCTTCCTCATGGCTGTTGCACAAACGTGTCCTGTGGATCTTCTGCTATAGAACAAAGTGCCATATGGAAGACCTTGATGCCACGTTCCCCGGACTACATTTGGGCTGCTAGTGCACTTCCATAGCACGTCTTTCAAAAGCTTTACTATTTTATCCTCAGGAAAAGTCAATTTAAAGGCCCTTGATCGTGTGATTTCTGCTGCAGCTTTTCAAGAGCTTTATTGCTCCTATTGCTGTGCCAATGCCCTGCGGGGTTCATTGCATGAACAGTGTTTTGGTGCTCACTCAGTAACCGCTTTGTTAAAATTGACAGGCTGATTTCCGGGTGGAGGGAGAGGCAATATCACAGATATGCAAAGTGCTGAGCACTCCAGTTCTAGGGATGGTTCAAGGCAGCGAAGAGGTGTCTCTTTGACCAAGGTGCCAGTTCTCTTCAATCTGTGCGGTCAGATAAGGAGAATTTTCTTTGAAAATGTTCTCCTTCTGTGGGAAAAGGATTCTATGAAAACAGATATCACACAGTTGCCTCCCCCTTTGCAAGCATGGATGCATTTCTCACTCTGGGGGAACCAGTGAGTGCTGTTCCATAGGCACTAAATTGCAGCAGGAGCCTGGCAGATTCAGTTGTGACCAGTATTGAATTGCGCAAAGTTGCAGAGTCCAAATGATGAAAAGCAAGTGGGCTACTAAATGTTTTCAGCTGTACACAGGAGAAGTTCGTTAGAAACTACATCCTGGCTTTATGAATTGGAAGCATTCAAGTACAGTCAATATTCAGGTCTGCAAAGAGATGGAATAGGTGCCATGTGCTCTATGTTATAGCTGTATGTGGAATTCTGTTATCAAGACAGGATTTGGGAGTGGGGGGAAAGAACAAGGGTGGGTTTTAGCAATTGCAGACATGGGTTTTTTCAAAGAATGTCAGGTCTTTCACATCCTGCTCCTGCAGGCAGTGGACCTGCAAGGTACCTTGCTTAAATGACAATGATGTGAAATCCAGATACCTTTATAGTGGCTGTTACTTTAGAAATTTTGCCTGTTTAATGCTGTATCAGTTGTATTCTGTGCAAGCCTGAAATTGAGCCAAGTTATTTAATGCTTCTTTTGCCTTTATTTCCTCAGGCAGAATCAGAAATGGCTCTGGATGCAGAGTTTCTGGATGTATATAAAAACTGCAATGGCGTAGTGATGATGTTTGACATCACCAAGCAGTGGTAAGACATCATCAGCGTCATGCGCAATCCAACTTTCATTTGTTTAATCAAAAAAAAAAAAACTTTTAGACTTCTTGGTGGCCTCTGAAGCTGATTTTGTGTCACGTAAAATAATAGCTTTATCTTCTGGTGTGTCTTTTAATATACTCCCCTCCTGGGTTTGTTTTGAACAAGCAGTTTCCCTGTGGGATTGTGGCCTGGAGTTCCTGCTATACTGCTGTCTGAGGCTTGATAATTAGTGCTGCTGCAGATGCAGAGTGTGCTAGGCGTGTTACAAACCCCCAGCTCTACAAGGGAAAGGAAAAGACTTGTGAGCAATGGGGAAATTCCCAGGAGGACAGGTATTGCCGCAGATTATTTAGAGGCCACAGATTGCATTAATATATAGAAACAGTGAGCTATTCATTTTGCATCTCTGATGGGGAGGATGGGGAATGTATAGAACCATGATAAGGAGGTGACTGCTTCTTTATATTTAAACTTGTGTTTTACTGGTTTGATTATGGGTCAGTAAGCCTGTTGCCAGCAGAAGTGAGGGAAGCCTTCACTTCTACTGTCCTCACACAGTTATATAGGTCTCACTGCAGGAGATACTAGGTCCCTGGTGGAAGTGGAGTATTAAACTTGTTGAGTTCTTCTTGAATGAAGAATGGTGTGGGCGTATTTACAGTTAATGTATCCTTCTGAGAGGAGCAAAGAAGCAACAGTCTTGGAAAGATTTTTGAAATTCTTTTCTTACTTTATATTTGTTCTATATTTTTTTTCTGTGGTTTTGTGGTGATGAAACCGCTCACAGAATTTCCCCCTCATTTTCTTGTGTCTGTCTCTCCTTTGGTGAAGGACATTTAATTATATTCTGAGAGAACTTCCCAAAGTGCCGACCCACGTTCCAGTGTGTGTGCTTGGGAATTACCGAGACATGGGGGAGCACCGGGTCATTCTGCCTGGCGATGTGCGAGACTTCATTGACAATCTGAACAGGTAACTGAGGGTGGCACCCCAGTCCCCACACGGGATTGTCATGAACCCCTGTCATCAACCATCAACCCTGCCATCAACTCTATCATCAACCGCAAATAACCGTATTGCTGCTGTGTTTCAGATGTGCATCACGTTAATGCCCAGGCCCTCTGCTTAGCTTTTGGGCTTTGATAGCCCAGTGTCATACAGCAGCTTTGGCTTACGCGATAGGCTCTTTTCCGCTTGACCTAGAAGCCTGCGCCAGCCAGGTTGTTAACTGTATTCCTGGAAACAGTTAGTGCCTGCCAGTGTGTGCCTTTCAGAGTTATTTTGCCCAAGAGGTCATCATCTTTTTGGATAGTTCTTTCTTCTAGAATTCTCTCCCTGAAACACAGCTGTTCTCTACTCTCGTTAATCCTGCTGCAAGACAGCCAGCTAGTGCAGCTGCGGCCCTCGCTCTTCCTCTAAGAGCATCCTCACGCAACTGCTACTGGGCGCAGCCAAATCACTTTCCTCCCGTTCCAGCCAAGCAAGATTTTTCCTTTAAATTGGGCCCTGAGGCTCTCTATTATTTAATCTTAAATATTTTTTTGTCGGTCAGGATTGAATAGATTGTACCCCTTTTGCAGTTTATGATTTTAAGGCAATTTTTAGTTTTTTTAGTCTCTTGTTTGTTCCTGTGTGTGTCAGGCACACACAAGTGGCATCGGTTTTAAGGCTTGGTTTAGTAATGCAATCACTTCTTTACAGGTTTATTTCTATACATGACTTAGCTAGCTGAGTCTAATTCCCAGCGCCAGTGCTTGAGTAGGTGACTTAATTTAGGTCTGTTTGTAGTATTAAAACAAAATCTTCACTGAGGAATGGCCCCGTATAGCCATGAAATGCACAGTTTAGTAAACCAATGGCCCAGTGTACTGACACATTATTTCTTAGTCTATCAGCTGCATGACACAGCAACACAACAACCGCTGCATTCCAGCTTTTTCCTTCACGCTTCGGGAGGAGCACAGTCTGAATTTTGTTTATAAACAAAATAATCAGTCCTTAGCAGAATGACTTGTCAGGCTACAGCTGGGAGTTCAGGGATTAGCTTGTAAATGAGGATTGCCCGCAGTATATAATTCAGCAGGTGCCTCCTCTGTGTGTATGCAGTCCAGGTCCTTTGTACAATTTTCTTCTCTCTACCTATCTGGTTGAGACAGGCCACCTGGCTCCTCATATTTTCGGTACGCTGAATCTTCCATGAAGAACAGCTTTGGCCTCAAGTACCTGCACAAGTTCTTCAACATCCCCTTCTTGCAACTGCAGGTAAGAGAAAGAGAGTGTCCCTGATGTGTGGGTGGGTGGGATGGAGTTCATCTTTTCTAAGGTGGGAATTTGATATTTATATATATATTGATTTTGTATTATATATTATTGTTAAAGGATCCTAAATAGATTTTTCTTTTTATGAACATTTAGTTAACAAAATTATGTTAGTACATTGGTGTCTGTGACTTAAACATGTGTCTGCGTGTGCAAGGGCTGTTCTTTACTGTGTTCACAAATGCTTACCTCTGTAGAAAGTCTCCAAGGTAATAAATATCATGGGCAAGGCAACTGCATCCAGTGTTGTGATTACCAAATCAAAAATGTTACATCCGCACATGTATTAAAGTCTGTGTTATCAAAGTCAATTAAAACTCAGTTAAGAAAAGTCTTGCTAGTGAGATGAGCAGCTCAGGGACAACAGTTTGCTGAAAATCATTACCCTGAGATGAATGGTAACTGATTTGCTTGGATCCTATACGCATAGATCCAAGTCTCAGATTTCTCTCATATGATTGAGCCTTCTTTGGTGGGATGAGTGGGGAGGCAGAAGCTTAACGGGCGTGAAAGGGTGAAATTCGTAGCTGCGGTCCCTCAGAAGGGTTAGGGTATGCTTCTGTCCTTTTGTGGGGTGCATATGATATATCATTGTTTTCCATTTCATGAAAAAGTTCAGATAGTTGATCTTGGTTGTCTTTCACTAGAAAGTGAAATATTTATATATGTATTTTTTTGTAAGAGTAATCCCAACTGAAATACTAGTTCAGAATAAGCTCAGATATATTAGTGGATGTGACCACATCTTCAGTCTGCAGAGCGGATGCGTTAGAAGGAACCCGGGTAAGAAACCTTAAGGTAGAACAACCCAGTGAAACAAATCAAGTAATAACTTTTTCAGGAAGAAGCGGTAGAAATCTAACATTTGAACCCAACTTACTGCTCAGTGGAGCAAATTGAAATCTACCAGTTGGTGTTGGTTAGATGTTTTGTTTTATAATCTCAGTTCCTATGGCAAAGGTGGTGTCTTGCAGAAATCATGCAGAATAGTTAATTCCCAGGTTACTTTTTTCATTTCAGTTTTGTAGATCTTTCTATTTCTTCTCAGACAGATGTTGATAAGAGGCAAAGACATTAGCACAGGCTTCCTGCCAGATTTGTGTCTGAGTGGCTGCTCATAATAATACTATTAATGGTCAATATATGCAATGATTTTTCTAAGTATAATCATAACCAGGAAGTACTGAAGCGTCTGTGGTTCAGGGTTTGTTTGGAAGCAGCTTTAGGAAGAGAGTCTTAGGTGACCTTTCACTGAAATGCGCTGTGAATAAGTAAACATGATGTACCAAACTAAAAGCTGCTAGGACACTTAGATAAGGTAATCAGCCCGAAAGCCAGAGAACTTTTTGGACAAATCTTGGTCTTCACGGACATGGGAAAAATAAATCTGATGTAACCTTTAGGAGTTTGGAGACTCCAGTGACTGTTGCCTGGGGAGATGAGGGAAATGGAGTGACCAACCTGCATTTATTCTCCTGTTCAGTGGGCTCAGGATGGCATTGGAGGTAGTCCAAAACACAAGGTGCAGGTGCTACAGGCAGTATTGGCCTCAGTTATACTAGGTTCCCAAATGTTGTATTTTTCATATGATATAATGAAACAATTCAACACTTCGCAGACAAACCTGAACAGAGTTCTCAGTATGGGAACTGTTAAGTTCCCATAATGTGCAAGAGGAGGTTTGGGTGGACACATGTAAACAACACATGTAAATATGTTTCCACTGTTCTTAGTATCTTGGAAAAAAAAGTGGCCATTGATGAGCTTGTACTATGCCCGTCGTTCAAGGAGAGAGTGGTCAGATCATAGCTGTCTGGCCTTTGATTTAAAACAGTGGGGCCAAAACTAATCCTGCAGCTCTGTGATAGCTGGGTTTCAGGCCTGTGCTTTTCCATGCGTTTTGCTCAAAATCACAAGATAAGATCAGATACCAGGATGTTTCCCTCTGAGGTGAAGGAGGTCTCTGCCCTTGCCATCCTCTGAGGAGGCCCTTAGTTGCTTCCACACAGGCTTTAGGGGCTCTGCTTGCTGTCAGACTTCAACCAGCTTTTGCTGTGCCACTTGCATTTGTGACGCAGTTTTATTGGAAGAGCTTAGTGCTGTTTTGTAGCTGCTGATTTGGTGGCTCTGTGCACATTGCAACTCCTGTTTAGCAGCTGGGAGCCTCGCCTTTGAATGTGCTGGGAGCCAGAGCTGGCCCACTGCGCCTTGTTAACAAGCAGTGCAGCATGTTAAAAAGTGTATAGGAAAATCACAACTAGACCTAATTCCTAATGGTACTCTTTATACTTTCAGAGGAAGTTGTTAATAACAGCCTCCAAAAAGGAGTCATTTGCCTAGTACTTCTGTACAAAAAGCAAGGTGAAAGGAGAGGGACTCTGCCAGTATTAAATGCACATATGATTTTATCAGTCTGTCTACTTCTGAAGTTTCTCTGTGGTTTTCAGCCTAATCCCGCACAGTTCTCAAGGGGAAGAGTTGTTGTTAACTGTGCGTGAGATGCCAGTGTGTCCTTTAGCAGAGTTGGCCTTTAGTGCATGGGTATTAAGTTGCACTTTGCTGTGTTCAGCTTACGTTCATGCATCTTTCACTGAGAAAGTGGTGGGTGAAATTCATACCTTCAGTATAAAGCTAGTCCCCCTAGCAGCCTGGACTCTTCAATTATTTATCAGTTCCTTTCCAGGGGGAGGATTCACAAACCTGAGAAAGCAGTTCAGCCCTAGGTATTGCTGGTGGCCCACGTAATGTGCTGCTAACGTGGTCGGGTCGGCCGGGCCTTCACAGTGCTATCCTGGAAGGAGACAAAATTCTGCTGTCAGCTGAAATGGCCTTTTCCCAAGGAGCACTTGAAAGTGGCATTCAGCCAAAGCATTGGTCAGTAGCCTATGATTTGCTCCCTTCTTTTGGGTCATTGCTGAAAATAAGTTGTTTCTTTAATATTTTAAGGCCAGCATAGTGAAACAGAAATTTAAAAAAAATATTTCAGTCCGTTATTAGTAGTGAATTTTTACAAAATTAGATGCATCTTTCTCTGGATTTAAATCTGCGTTCTAAATTTACTGTGATCTGTGAAAACTGAAGTAAGTAAAACTCTGATTGCTATGTCTTGCTGCCAAAGTATGAGGAAAGGCAAACCACTTATTTGATAAAAAGCCTTTATCTAAGAACCTAAGATGAGCATTTGAGAGCAGTATCCCCTCTGTTTCTGTTTATTCAACTAATATGCCCAGCATTTATTTCACTTTTATTAGGAAACTGATTGAGGACAAAGAAGCAGACAATTTGCCTTTTTTGTGTGATTTCTGCTTCCGGTAAATGAATAAAATATAAAAGGACGAAATCTGTTCTGAAATGTTGAAGGATACAGGGACCATAGAGCAATACTTTAAAATCACTAACTACAGATTAGTACTTCTCTTTAGTTAAACAAGTTTAAATATGTATGACATGTTTTGCTGAAATTTCTCATCTGTATACCACAGTAAGGGGAATTTGAGTTAGCTAAGGACTTCATAATTCTTTGTATATGTTTTAATTAAATTCAAATTTGCATCTGCGTAGAGCTTATGAATATGTTGAATAAAAATTATCTAGCAATGGGAAAATGGATCACTCCATGCTCTTTACACAATGAAACAGTTTAAAAATGAAGAATCGAAATGTCTGGTAAGCTGTCAATTAGCTTAAATGATCATAGAAGTACCTAAATTTTGAGAGAGGCTATATCTGCCTGTGAATTAGCATGTTGTAATGGTTATCAACCCAGATGAATCACCTGATCTTAAAAATGTAATACAAAATAAAAATTATGTAAACCTGACTTGCTGATTTTTTTTAATCATGGCTGAAGTTGATGTAAATCAGCTTGCTCCACAGAAAGCTCAATCTATGCCCTGACTACTCCCTTGGATAGTTTGGTGTGGTTTATATAAAACAAATGAGTTACTTGATTTTTAAATTCTTCTCTTTTTTTTATGGCTCCAAAGTTGTCATGTATGTGCAACCATATTGTCCTTAGCATGTGTGCATAAAAACAGCACTCCATTCCTTTATCCAAATGTTTGTTTTCCCTTAGGGATTTTAGTCTGTAAATAACGTAATAGGTTTCCTTCTGTGTGTTTTAGTCTAATGGAATTTTTCTACAGTGAGCATACATGTTCTCATACATAGAATTAAAAATTCACCCTGGCTACTGATGCTAAACTTCAAGTAGTTATGGTAGAAAAAAGGACTGTTGAGGATGAGGCAGTCATAAAAGCAAAAGCCTTTGCCGTCTGAGGGAAGTCTGGGATTTCTCTTCTGTCTCCTACTGGGCCTTTACCTAGTCTATCTGCTGTCTGGATGGTGGTGCAGCTTGTCAGTCCTTGGCATTAGTGGACCCTGCTGTACTGAGACATGTCTGAGCACAAGCTAATGCTGTTTCCCATGTCATTTAGTCTGTAGGCAGTGGGAGAGGGAGGATTGACACTTCCATTGAACGTCATGACTTTTGAGTCATGAATTTGGTGTGTGTGAATTGACTTGGGTGCTCCTAGCTCAGAGCCTTCCCAGGAAGGCAAGCAGTACATCGGCATGCCAGTGATAGGAGGCGACACCTAAGCAACCTCCATCAAGTTCTGGCCATTGCCAGTGTTCAGCTGGGAGTGTGTCAGGTCTCTTTGAGAAGATGGGAAGGGGCTCTGATACAGGAACTGACCACTGAGCAGGGCACTGGAAACAGAAGGTTTTAGTTCTGGCCTAGGGTTCCTGAATTGCGTTTCTGCAGAAATGGCTGCTGCGTTAGCTCTGCAGCTTCAGCATCCTGGGAAACCTAGGTCCTTGCCATGCAGAAAGAAGGGTCAGATGGCTGGTGCTGGTAGCACTGCAGGGCTTCAGCTTGCCTTGGGGAGCCATTGCAGGTAAGCCCTTTTGGAGCTGGTAATATCAATGCAGCCTCAAAAGTAATGCGTGTGGTTACTGATCTCTTGTTACCCTCTGGGCTGCCAAGAGAGGTGTCCAATGGCTGTTTGCAATTGATTTAGAGGCTTTTAAGACATCACAAGCCCTCAGTCTAAGTGCCTGTTTGGAATCCGTTGGAAACGTGGAACATGAAGGACCAGATTAAGCTACCCCCGTTTTATGTCAGTGAAGCCAACTCATTTCATTTCACGTTTGAAATGGACTGGGGTTTCTACCCCTCAGGTCTGGGGTAATAACTGAAGAGTGAGGGCAGTAACTTTTAAAATTGCACAGAACTGATAGACTCTGGTCACTCATCAGCCTCTGCTATTAAAAAGAAAACTATTGTGCGGTTCTGCATCAGCTGAGTCCTGCTCACAGTTAGACTCCTTTATCACTAGGAAAAAAAAATAAAAGCTTGGAATGAAATGGTATCAACCACTGTGGAGAGTAGTTGTGCAGTTCTCTAAATGAAACGAGTGATCTTGTGTCTGAGAATTGCATTACTATTTGTGGCCCAGTATAGTACAGGTTTCAGGACAAGTTACTTTTTTACACACTAGCTTTCTGGATTAACATACTTTTGTTACTGCTTCCGCTTTCCATTGTGCTTCTATGCTTAAACTGAACACCTTGGAATGGACCAAAACTCCTATTTAATTCATTGCTGGGGGTAGAGTGGTGACAGAAGATCTCACTGCAGCCTGCCAGCGCACAGAGATCTGTTACGGTGACCGTTCCTGCTCAGACCCATCTTGTTTTCCTTTCTTCAGAGGGAGACGTTGCTACGACAGCTGGAGACGAATCAGCTGGATATCGATGCGACTTTGGAGGAGCTGTCAGTGCAGCAAGAGACAGAAGATCAAAACTACGAACTGTATGTCATTGAGCCATCTTTTCTAACTGTTTTGTTGCAGTCCAGGTATCACATGAATGTTGGACAACCCCAGCTGTAGCATTTGGTCAGGTGTCTTTGGACCTTTTAAAATGTCACATTAGGTGACATTGCCTGAGATAAAAAGTGCACTTTGGGGTCCCTCTCAAAAGGTCTGGTTCCTACAGGCACGTGATCTATGTGAGGGCAGTGGAGGTAGAGCTGAGCAGCACACGGAGGTGGCACGTGCTCCAGGGGTTGTAGATAAGTATGTTACAGCCTCTGATGCTGAAACAGGATATTCTCCATATCTGTAGTGCTCAGCACACAAACTGATTCATTTTCTTTTGGCTGTTGTATTCCTGTGTTTTGTGTGTCTTGTGATAGGCAGAAGTTAATGACTACAACATTGTAGTCTGTTGTTCTGTCTGAATACTTCCATATTCCTCAGTGCATTTCTGCTCTGAAACAGTGACTGGTCCCTGCTGTCTTGTCTTTGTTCAGTGCCCTGGCTGCTTGTTTTGCTAGTTGAAATGAGCTTTTGCCAGAGTTTGCCCTGCAAGGCCAGTACATCTGTAGCACAGTGAGCTGGAATCTGTTCAGATTTGTGTGTTGCTGACGGCTGTGTTCCATGAATTCCAGTTGTGAGGTCTTTAAGGATGTGCAAGCTAGAAAAATCAACCCCAGAATGAACTGGAAGGACGTTCTTTACAGGCAGCTTTATCTGCAATTTGGAGTCAATGATTATGAAATATTCATGCAGAGCCATTTTGACAACTGCTTTTCAGCCTAAGTTTTAAGTTCCTTAACCTTAGAAGGTGTGTTCTCTTTTGAGAGCTTTAAAATATGCCATATCCATACAAAGTAGTGGTGTTTCTAGAGTACTCACCTCATTCCTTTTCTGTAGGGACCTGTTAGTCTCATATTTTAAACCACTTTCTTGTCACTGCTCAAAGGACTGGGCTGTGCAGGCTTGTGCTGTCTAAAAGTTTTCCAGTATTTTTATGTACCCTACATCAGCAATGGGAAGATACTTAAAAGAATCAAGACTTTAAACTTACACAAAAAGGTCTTCCTGCTTAGTTGCATGCAACCCTTACACCAACCTTAACATTTATTGTATCCTTGCCTGAGCCAATTTAGCTCACAAATCCAGCAGAAAACTCTCCTTTACTGCCATATCCACTTCTAGGTTAGTTTTCTGCCATGTGAGCAGGTTGGTCTGGCTCTGAGAAGCATCTACTGAAAACCAAAGCTTAAAAGAAGCAGCAAAGGCATGGGGCTTGGAGAAGCAGGATGGCAAGACGCAGTTCCAGCAGCGGACGTTAGACTGTATCATCCCACCTGATGTATCCACACCCACGGTACAACGCTTTATAATACTGGTGTGCTTCCACTGCCGAAGAATACCCTTCCTGTAGTGCATACTTGAGCAGAAACACTGAGATTACTAAAGAACATCACTTGCATTGCAGTAGCCTCCAGAATCCGAAGGTCAGACTGGCCTTGTTGCTGAAGGCACTCACTGTACGCTCACAAGTCAAAAGGCATGTTGTTGGCCCTAGGAGTTTTCAGTGCAGTTTATAGTTTTTTGAGCTCTTGTGGTTTCCTACTGCCTCAACAGAAGCCCCTGAGTGGTTTGCACAAATTCTAACACTAGACAACCGTTTAGTCCACATGTCAGTGCCTTGCCGCATCCACACTTAGAATGATTTGGAGATGTCCCACAGCCAAGCAGCTGCCCTTCTCCTGCGTTGCAGAACAGCATGCCATAACGCAGGACTATTGCTTAGCCACTGGGGAGGGCTTGCACCGCAGGTGACCAATTGCACTGTTAGCCTATGTAATTGGCATAACGTGGCATAAGAAGTACCTTAGCCAGGGTACCTACCAGAAGAGGAACTGCTGAAATACTAAAAGCAAAACTACTTCCTAGGATTCTGTTATAGCAAATAACATGATACTTATATATATGAATGAAGCTGGCCAAATTCTCCTTTTTCACTTCTGCAACTTCCAGTTTATGTCTACGTACTGATCCTCATGTTCTTTGCTTTTGGAAAACAGCTCTTCTTTATAGAAAGGTCTTTAAAATATCCCTGGATGCTTCCTGATTTGAACCCCATGACTGGGCTATGTCATGTCTGACTACTTTGACCACACTGGCAAAAATAGAGTGCTATTTTAGGATTTTTGAGTTACTTCTCTGCACCTCAGCTAGAAAAGAAGAGTCTTTTTGTTTCAGAGGCGCTCTCTGAAACAGATGAGCTGTAAGGGGGGGTTGCTTCAATCTCAGAGTTGAAAAGTATACTGTCCGTACGTTTATTTTTTATCTCTGCAGGTGCTGTTCAATTTCTGAGCTCAAGTCCTCCAGCCTGAGTTCTGCTATAACCCCACTTATATGGCAGTGAATTCAGATTTGGATACAGTTCTGGTTCTCAGTAAATGTCTTAGGCTGTTGAGCAGCATATCCATAGGCACGACAATAATACACAGTGAGAATTAGTTAGCTTGCAGTTGTGAGGCAGGTCTGCAGGGCTCATTGCTGGGGCTCAGAAAGATCCCTGCATCCCTATTTAAAAGATGCCCATCCTCTTGCTTTGGGATTGTCATGCTTAATATGCTACTGTAACCTGCAGTGGCTGTCAAAATGAACACCTGGTGCGGTTGTCCTCTGGCACTTGGCATGGAGAGTTGATGCGATGCATCTTGTTGACCCTTGGCAGATGTGAAGCCATTGTGTTGGTTGTTTGGATTTAGGAGGTACTTGAAGTTTTGCTGTCAGTCCCCCCGAACGGCTCAGCCCAGTGGGGTGTCCACAAGCACTTGGAGCTGCAGTCCGTGGGTGCCGTGTGGCTACTGCACCACCTCCTCTGAGGTGATTCCTGCTCTCCTTATGTTCACGCCCTTGCACGGCCATAAAACCAGGCAGTGTAGCAAGGCAGTTTTAGGACATCTCGATTATTTTGCTCACCGTGTACATGGGCTAGTAGCTGCTCTGTCACAATGACTGATGCTAAATTTGGGTCAATGAGAACAGAAAGAGCACAAGAACTCTTCATCCTGCTGTGTCTGGGTACCTGAGGGCAAAGCGTCATTGCTCCAAATGCGCATCCCAAAGAAAACACGAGGTGGCACACAACGCTGCCTCATCCAGCTTATGTAAGCTATCCCTTGGCAGCCACTGGCTGAGTTTTCACCTATCTAATATGCACTGAGATGCTTTCAGCTCCTTCCCTGTGCTTAGTCTCTTCTCTTCCTGCCACGCCTCTTTCTCCTGTACGTTCCCTGTGGTCTCTCAGGTCTTATATTTTCAATCCTGCTAAAACTAGATTTCATCCCTTTTTGAGTTCCTGAATTATTATGAAACAAGCAGCAATCACTTTTTTTGAATCTGTTTGTTCTAAATTCGTATTTAATTTGCTTGATTTTTTTTTTCCATCTGTAGTTGCATCCAGCCTATCTTCTGTCATGAGAAAAACTTCATGTGTATTGAATTTGTTCAGTTTAAGGTGGATGTGTTCCCTCACTGAATGATGCGCATGAAAAAACAGTTTTTAGGAAACTGATGGAAACTCTTTCTGCCTATTTGTTTTTTTAAGCTGCTGATGGAGATGTATGCAATAGTTAATATATGTGGGTTTCTTTAATGTTATATTTGACTGTATTTTTTCTAATGTTACTCCTTTTTTGATACCGGAACAAAAAATTTAATTTTGAAGGTTTAGGAATCAACCTTCTTTGAATTAGCATTTTTTTTTTCCTGCGGATGAGTTACTCAAAAGAAGCAGCAGCTGTGTGAAGGAAAGATGGACAGGGTTGACAAGCAAAGATCCCAGGGTGATGTGGAAAAAAAGGGAACACCTAATCAGCAAACCAGGGCTTTAACTGGGAGCACCTCAAGCATTTGCATGTAAGCAAGGAAATCCTTACAAGGTAGTATTATGGGGAAACCTCTCACACCCTGGGGAAACCAGCATGCTTGGGTGCCTCTGTGAACTGCCTGTACACTAACGCATATAACATGGGGAATAAGCAGGAGGAATTAGAGATCCTTGTGCTGCTTCAGGGCTATGATCTCGTTGGGATCACAGAGCCGTGGTGGGATAGCTCAGAAGACTGGCATGCTGCAGTGGATGGATACAGGTTCTTTAGGAAAGACAGACTGGGCAGGTGAGGAGGGGGAGTTGCCCTTTACGTGAGAGAGCAGCCGGAACGCATGGAGCTCTGCCTAGAGAGAGGGGGGAGTCAGCTGAGAGTGTATGGGTCAGGATTAAGGGGCAGACAAATATGGGTGACATTGTTGTGGGTGTTTGCTGTAGGTAACCTGATCAGAAAAAAGAAGTAGGTGAGGCCTTCTACGGACAGCTGGAAGTAACCTTATGTTGCAAGCCTTGGTCTTCGGGGGGGGGTACTTTAACAGACCTGATGTCTGCTGCAGGGACACCACAGCAGGGCACAACTCTCCAGGAACCTCCTGGATTGCGACTGAAAACTTCCTGATACAGGTGATAGAAGAGCCTAACGAGGAGAGGTGGTCTGCTGGGCCTTGTACTTACAAACAAGAAAGGGCTGGTTGGGGACAGCCTTGGCTGCAGTGACCACAAGACGGTGGAGTTCAGGATTCTGCAAGGAGGAAGCAGGGCAAAGAGCAGGATCACAACTCTGGGCTTCAGGAGAGCAGACTTGGGCCTCTTCAGGGACCTGCTTGAAAGAAACCCATGCGGTAGCGCCCTCGAAGGAAGAGGGGTCCAAGGGAGCTGGTTGATATCCAAGGATCACCTCCTCCAACCTCGAGAACAGTCCGCCCCAATGAGCCAGAAGTCAAGCAAAGGGGGCAGGAGACCTGCATGGTGGAACAAGGAGCTCCTGACAAAACTCCCAACACAAGAAGGCTGTCTACAGAAGGTGGAAGCAGGGACAGGTCACCTGGGAGGAATACCAGGATGAGGTCCGAGTACACAGGGATGGGGCTAGCAAGGCCAAGGCCCATCCGGAGTTGA